TCTTTCGCAAAAGACACACGGAAAAATTCAGCCTCGACAGCGCAACACCGGACGTGCAGGGCTGTGCAGCGGTGGGGCTGTGGATCGTCTCGGGATCTACGCTACAGCACAAGACGCTGTTCCAAGCTCGTCTCGGTGCTTGTCAGGCCTGCTTCGGAGTAATGCGATCGGAATTGCCGTCGACTGCAATGCAGGTCGGAACGTTGGATGGTGTGTCGGTTGTACTCCGAGGCTTAGGATGACCCGCTCCCCAGCTTTGAAGTGGCAGCGGTGCATGCCGAAGAGGTCTTGAATATTTAAAAAGGCCGCCCCAAAGGGACACGGCGAGAATTCGGTGGAGCCGCCGCGCCACGCACCGCACCGAACCGCACAACCAACTCTGGCATTTGCGACCCACCCACGTGCCTTCGCCCCCTCTACACCACTTTGCTCCACACCACCATCCTGTACACCACCTCACAACGTCCGAACGGCCTCTCGTTCCGCTTAATCTGCTTCTTTGCGCATATTCTCGTCGACATACACCCGCTCCAGTGAGCTACACGCTCTAGAATCGTAAAACCAGCGCAGCAGCCTCGTTCGACTCATATCCCAGTGTTTCGCCTCGCAACCCGGCCTAGCTTCCTACAGCACACTCACACACCACCGCCAGCATGTCGGCCTTCCAGTCGACGCCGCAGCGCACTCCATACAACGTGCTCAACCAGACCTTCCTCATCGACAATGCGTACGAGATCACAAAGGATCTCGGCCAGGGCGCCTACGGCTGCGTAGCCGCCGCAACCCACAGGGGCACGGGCGAGAGCGTCGCCATCAAAAAGATCACCAACGTCTTCACCAAAAAGATCCTCACCAAGCGCGCATTACGCGAGATCAAGCTCTTGCGGCACTTCCGCGGCCACAAGAACATCACCTGCCTCTACGACATGGACATCATCGACCCCGTCGGCTTCAACGAGGTCTACCTCTACGAAGAGCTCATGGAGGCAGATCTCCACGCCATCATCCGCTCCGGTCAGCCCCTCTCCGACGCACACTTCCAGTCATTCATCTACCAGACCCTCTGCGGCCTCAAATACATCCACTCGGCCTCGGTGCTCCATCGCGACCTCAAACCGGGCAACCTGCTCGTCAACGCCGACTGCGAGCTCAAGATCTGCGACTTTGGCCTCGCGCGTGGATTCGAGACCGACCCCGAACTCGCCAAGCAGGCGGGCGCAGGCGGCTTCATGACCGAGTACGTCGCCACGCGATGGTACCGTGCACCCGAGATCATGCTCAGCTTCCAGAACTACACCACCGCCATCGACATCTGGTCCGTCGGCTGCATCCTCGCCGAGCTTTTGGGCGGTCGACCCATCTTCAAGGGCCGCGACTACGTCGACCAGCTCAACCAGATCCTGCACTACCTCGGCACGCCGAGCGAAGAGACGCTGCGACGCGTGGGCTCGCCGCGCGCGCAGGACTACATCCGCTCGCTGCCCTACCAGCCGCGAATCCCGTTCCAGCGCCTGTATCCGCAGGCGAATCCGCTCGCACTCGACCTGCTCGAGCGCATGCTCGAGTTCGACCCTGCCAAGCGCATCTCGTGCGAGGAGGCGTTGCAGCATCCGTACCTTGCGGTGTGGCACGATCCCGCAGACGAACCCGTCTGCCCGCGCAAGTTCGACTTTGGCTTTGAGGCGGTCGACGAGGTGGAGGGCATGAAGACGCTCATTCTTGACGAGGTGCGCAGCTTCCGCACCGAGGTGAGGCGGCAGGCGAGGATGATGCAGCAGCCCAAGCGACAGGAGTCGCTGCCCATCCCCACGCGCGAGGACATCCAGCGCAGCAGCCCCACCGACGCCGACAATCCAGGTTACGCCCTGCTCGGTGCAAGCACAGGCATCATCCACGGCGCATCCAACTCGGAACACGCAAGTGGCATGCTCGACAACGCATGCGTCATGGAGGATCCTGCCGAGAGCTTTGAGCGCGAACTCACCCAGGCGAGATAGATCCGCACACTCTCCACATTAATCTCAAGATCAAATTGTACACGCACAATCTCGCATTGATCGATCGTGAGGGGTCGGAGAGATCTAGGCAACTAGACGCGAGGGAGAGTCGACAAACTTGGCTGGGTCGATACCAGCCTTGAGCACGCCCGCCTTTTCGAGCAGTTCCAGTGTGTGTTTGACCGTACCAGCCGAGACGGAGCGCGTGTTCGTATCCTGACCCGTCGAAGGCACGACGAGACCCTCGGAATTTGGCGTCTGTTCGTCAGCCCAGCGCACGGTGTTGAGCCACGACTCGACATCTTCCTCCTTGTAGCCGTGATGGTTGACGATGAACTGCTTGGCCTTGCCGCTGGCGCGTGTCTCGGGGTTGGCGAACTCGTGGATGCTCTGCTGGAGCCTGGAGAGGAACTCGGCGAGCACCGCACCACGTGCATCGCCCTCAGCCAGCGCCGTGTTGGTCGACGCTGCGATGGTCCACGACGGCCAAGGCGTAGGCACGCTGCCGATGAATCGCACCTCGCCCGAGTCGACATACGGCTTGGTGGTGTACCACTCCCACATGAAGCACGACGACGTCCAGGGCTCTTTACCGTTGACGCCGTTGCGCAGGTTCTGGAAGGTGTCGTTCACCTTGAACTCGATCTCGGCACGGTCCTTGGGATCCGACGATGCATTCCAGCCGTGGTTGAGCGCCATGACCGATGCCATGATCTGCGAGCCCGAGCCGATGCGCGAGATGCCAATGTGCGTGCCCTTGAGGTCGTCGATCGACCGGTACTTGTCGGCGCTCGCATCGGTGCCCGTGATGACGGCCCAGTTGAGCGAGGTGCGCACGTACGATCCAACAAGCTTGTAGTCCTCGCGGCCCTTGGCGATGCCCGTGATGAGCGCCTCGGTCAGCGCCACGGCGACGTCGATCTTCTGCCCGCCCTGCTGCGCCGCATCGAGCGAGGTGAGCATCTGACCTGTGCCAGATGGCTGCAGGACAAGCTCGATGTGCTCCTTGCCCTGTAGTCGGAAGGTATCATGCCGAAAGAAGGACGAGGTTCAGCTTCAAATGCCGAGGTGCAACATGAACCGCAGAGTCATCACGGCGCTTGATCTTACCCAGGCAGTGTCGGCGAGCTGGAGGAGCGGTGCAGCAAAGTGCTCGGGCACGTAGCCGCAGCGGATCTTGGGAGTCATGGTGAGGTTATACTAGATGCCTGGCTCAGCGCTTTGTGGTCAGAGTCGGGAGGATCGTAGGTGGAAGGGAAGGTCCGATGGCAAGGCGAGTTAGTCACTGTAACGGGTCCGTGCTGCCGAGAAGCTTTCGTGCTAAAAGTGCTTTTCGGACCTCCGCGGTCAGAGCACGTCAGCGGCATCGACTGGCCCGATCGGACCGATTTCGATTTTGGAGCACAGACCACTGGCACACACCGGAAGGGCCGACAGGAGGCGACGCCGAGCGGACATC